TTGTTTTGGCTCATGCACACACTCACATTATTCTTTAAAAATGAGACTAAACTTAGTGCATAATGACATTTGGCCTAAAAGTACAAATGTGTGAAGATTTGAGGCAAATTAAGTGTCATCCGGTCGACCTACGTCGTCCGGTGACAGAGAAGGCTAAATGCACCGGTCGACCGGTGATGCCTCAATCGGTCAACCGTTCCGGCCGACCGGTTCTGTTCAATAGACACTCCGTAAGAATGTTGAACAGCATGAATTCAAATTTGTATCAACCGGTCAACCGCTCCGGTCGACCGGTACAGGGTAAACGAGCAAAAATATGACCGTTGGTAAAAGAGTTTAAATAGAGAAAAGCCATTTTTTTTCAACAGCTATCCTTGTGAAAAACAGAGAACGGGTTCAAAGTTTCAAAATCAAAAAGAGAGTTCTCATTTGTGTCCACATAATCATCATCTTCTCAAAATCCCTAACTCTCTCACATACATTTGAGCCTAACTTGAGTTATATTGTGATAGTGTGAGTTCATCATCTCCTAGTGATTTCAAATTGTGTAAAACCTTTGTTAGGAGAGTGAAACTAAGTGCTTCATTACTCATAATCATTACTTTGGTATTGGGTTACTTGGTTGGTCGATCTCCGTGAAAAATCGACATTGTGTAAGAGGTTAGGCGAAGCCTCGGGTAGAAAGATTCGCCTTCTTGTAAGAGGAGTGATCGTGCCGGAAAGTCGATTGAATAGTGAAAGAGGTCGAGAGGCGGAATATCTCGGCGACAGTGGATGTAGGCAAATTCATTTGTCGAACCACTATAAATCTCGTTTGCATCTCTCTAACTCTATCTCTTTAATTTTCGCACTTCAAATTTAATTGCTGACATTGATTGTCTTAACTCATCGTGATAAATTTATTGAACTCTTTTTATCATATTAGATTGGTCTATTTCATGTAAATCAAGTGATTGAGCTATTGTATTAACTTACATAATTTTCTGTACACCAAGTGTTTGTTAAAGGTTCTTTGTTCAATTAATTGTCTATATTTAGTTTAATATTTGAAGAATCATATAAACTCTAGAAAAATATTCAAAACCCAATTCACCCCCC